GTGAAAATACAGAGGTGAATATAAAAAAATAACACTTTTACAATGATCCCTTTCTAGCCAGAGACAGCTTGTGCTAGTTCTTAAACGTTAAGTTTTTCCTATTTTAATACTGAGTCTGAACCGTTACATAATGCATTCAAATTAAAATTCCTTGCCTAAGTGAAAAGAAATTCTTGGATCCTTTTCTTTTTACAGTACGCTGTTTTAGTTAGCAGATCGCTGATGGAAAAAGCAGCAGTTATGATAAAAGGGATTATATAAAAGAGCTCCCACTGAGAGTCCATGGCACAGTGCTGGTGATACAGAACACTATTCCCCAGGGCAGGTACAATAATTAGCTGCAGGACTGGCGCTTGGTCTGAGGGATTAATTAAAGCTTGAGGTGGTGCTGGGGGGAGGAAAAACAGCCATAAAGAGTGTCACGATCACTCTGGCCTGAAGCCTGTGTGATTTGATGTGAAATAGCAGCAGCTGGCTGTAACCTTAGGAAGTGCAAGTGAACAGCAGGTGGTAATTCCTGTCTCGTTTACCATGTCTTCACAGGAACATGTAAGCTTGTGCAGCATGGATTTATTGACAGGTCAGAAGGAAAATCCTAAGGAGGACTCTGACATTTACTGCAGTAAGCAAATGCAATAGTCAAAATGGAGTTTATGTAACTTAGTGTAAAACTAGTAATGGTGATGCTTAATGTTGTTTGCTTATCATACAATAAGGTTACTATGTTCTTATAACATTGACCTCATGTAGACAGATGCACAAAGCTGAATGTACTGTGAAAAATTTAGGCCTGCTAGTGGAAATTACTCCATTGAAGAATGTGATGGATGTAATATGGGAGTTACTACGTCTGAGTAGAAAATCAAGTGGAGGGAATGATATGATGTTCTGTCATCCTTCAATTTTCTTGGTGGCCATTGCATGGGAATGAGTAGGCTTTACATACATTTCCAGGTCGGTAAGCAGGGCACTGTTATGCAGTTGCATGCCTGTTAGCCTCCACGAAACATCATGCTTGGCTTGGGCATTTGGGTAGATATTACTGGAATTGGTGCAAAAAATGGGTTAATTTAAAAATTTTAACCAGCTAGAACTTCGAGGTGAGGATGAACGGTCTGCAGTGGGATTTAGTGGGCCAGTGGTTTGGTTGATTTTTGTAGTGCTCTGTATTCTGTAAAGGCCTCCCAGGGCGTAGAACAGGAGCCCTTCCTCTGTGCAGTTCAAGAATCAAACCAAATAAAGAGAAAATTGAATAAATTTGAATCCATCTTTGAGAGCAGCTTTAGACAGAGAAAAAGTAAAACCGATCTAGGGGCTATAGGAGGCTATATATATAGCAGAGCGACAGGAAAGGAAGAGAACTCAGTTTGTGGGAAGGATAGATTTTTTATACCCTTTTAGAAACTCACTGTGTGCCAGCATTATCTGTCATGGATGCCAGAAGATGCAATGCTTTCTAAAGCCTCCCACACATACAAAAACTGTGCACTTATTTTAATATCTTTGCAGGGTTCCATTTAATATTCCCATATTTCTAACCCTCCCAAATACATGTAACACATGCGAAGATGATCTAGGCCAAGTTGCCATTAGATTTCTCTAGCCATTAGTTTGGAAATTATGCCTGGGCTTGTGCAAAGGGAAAAAGGCTTTATGTTAACTGGGAACAAACTGAAAGAAGATTCTAAGCTATTGTTGAAAAACAAAGTTGTCCCCTTTTCTCAGGTATTGTTTATATAGATAGAAACCTACAATACTGGTAACTACTCTTGAACTTGTCCCTATGGTGTTGGGAGGCATTAGGAATGCTGGGGATGGAATAGGAAGTGCTCCACATGAATGTTCCTGTGTGGAGCTACATGAAACTTTCAAAATTCTTCCATTTCCTCTAAAATTTTTTATGAATTTTTCCTAGCAAAACAATGTATCTTCAGATTAAACTCCTTTCCCAATTAATTTTTAGGTCTCCTTCCTATTCAGAATGAAATAAATCAAACGTAATGTGTCTTGAGTTTCCTTTAAAAAAAAAAATCCAAATATATTTATTCAGAGGTAAGTAAGAAAATTACCGTGTTGTAATCCTAAAGGCTGATGTGTAACAATGAAGTGCTTAAAAGATTTTCTATTTATCCATTTTTAAATAAATGAGATTTATTGCTTACTACTCGGGTTTTAGTTCTTTTGTAGACTCCTTGTTTATGTTCATTTTCATTACATGAATATTGTAGTTTTATCAAAAAGAGGAATGGACCATGTGCACAGCAGGACTAATGAATCACAGATGTAAAGATTCTGGCACATAACTATCTAATAACTTCTTTAACTTATATTCCATAATAAGATAAATGCAAATTTGGTCCATCTATTTTCTAAATGATGTTTTCTAAATCTGTTTTCTAAATGATTCCAATCTTAGCAGTGTCTCAGGAGTGTGTTTCTTTAAATGTTTGGGAGTTTTACCTTTTTTGTTTTCTTTTTGTTTCAATTGTTTCTAAAGAGGATATTTCAGGTCACTGAGGAATGTATTTAGCCATACCTCAGTTCATCCGAAAGAAGTGGGGAGGCTGTTAAAACTTTCACTGACTGAAAGAGATCCACCTACAGGGTCTCAGCTTCCTCTTGTCTCACTAGGGTACCTGAAGAATAAAGCTGCTGAGTGCATCTCAAATGCATCAGTGAAGGACATGTTGTCTACATCAGGAAAATAGCTATGCCTTTTTTTTTTTTTGTAAAGATCAGCATAATCTTTGTGATCTAGAGGATCTTTGATGTTGTTGGAGGATACAAACAGAGCAGATATTTGAAATGTTAGAAGAACCTGCTGCAGCTATTGCCTATTGGTGCTTTCTGCCAGGCATGCACATGGCACAGCTCTCTGGCCGGCTGGGGCTCGCAAAGGGATTGTCTGCTGTAGTGCCCTGCGCTGCCTGACTTGGTGTTGATGGGGAACTCCTTGGAAGCCATCATGTCAGGGAGCCACAGCCTGCACAGCCTTCCCTTTTCGAGCTGCCAAATTGCACCCCTGCAGCTGTATGTTCCAGGCCTCCCAGCAGGGGCTATGCCACCAGCTCCTTCTCACAGAGGTTGTGTGGGTGCCTGCATGCCTGTAGGGAGCTTAGAGGTACTAGGGTATATTTTATTCTGTGTTCCTCAGCCTGCTGTCTCTCAGCCGTTGCCTGACTGTCCATGAACAAACCTTTGAGAACCTCTGCTTCAGACAGTGCGCTATGCTAAAGAAAAGGAGAGGGTTTGGGGGTTTCTTTCGGTATACCGCTCTACCTCAGGAGGCCTCAGCTTTATTAAAGGTTCAATTCCCACCTTCCAAGGCAATGTGAGAAGGATGTAGAACTGAGAGCAAAATTCACCTCTCACAGTAGCCCACAATTACAAAATTCTTCTTTGCTTGCATTAGTACAGTAAAAGTTCTGCACGTTAGTACACAGAATGTGAGAAATCATATGCACCATACAGTGTTGGAGGGGAAAAATTTTACCCTGGATATGAAAATACTGCTATGTATATATTGAAAATGTTGAACTTGGCCATTCTGGAGTATCCCAGATTTAGTAGTAGACTGTTGTTTAGTGTTTATAATTGTGTATGTGTTACCAGTTTATGTTCTGAATGTCATATGTTAAACAGAACTTGAGGAGCAGGATGGTAATTATACAAAGTGCTTCAAAATCGCCTGTCGCTGCTGTCTAGTTCTGCAACAAACCAGAGTCAAAGCTTTCTGTGCAGTTCTCTATGAGCGTGTAGCACGTTTTAATTGAAAATGACTCACTCATTAGCTGGCTAATAGCCTAAGAACTGTCAAATGATCATAACGCTTCCTTTAAATGTTAAGGAAGTCACCTCTGTGGGACTTCCTCGCTTTATATTCTTGATGTAAAGTAACAACGTTTTGCCTAATTCTGTTTTCCATATGACAGAGAAGCTGTTACCTGTCAGCAGGAAATGTGGGACATAATAAAAATAGTGTTTGTTCTGTTTGTCTGTTAGTAAATTGTCTTTGTGATGTTTGTGTTGTGCTGTTCTGGTACCATGTTATGCTGTGTCCCTAGGGTCTGCCAGGCTTCCCCACAGCTGCTGCTCTGCACAGTAATCAGATCCTCACCGTCAAGGTTTGTGGCTGACATGTACCTGTTCAGTCAGGTCTCTCTGTATCAGCATAAAAGTGCACATGAAAAATTGATTTTTACCATTGGATACCAGTGAATCCTTAATGGTGGACCTAAGTCAACTCTCAGTGACTTTGCATTGGTGTAAGCACTCCTAATGCAGAGCATGAGATCAAATCTATAACTGTGTACAGTATTACCCCCAGCAGCACCCACATTCCGTGTGTTCTTGATTAGTATTTTATTTTTAGATGAGGTTTTACTGTAGTTATGCTTTACTGAGGCATACAGGAGTGTGGAAAATGTCTGGGAACTGTATACTGGCTATATGTAGAGTCAGTTATCTGTATCTGTTATGCATCAGAAGTTTAATCTGTATGTGCAGATTTTTCCAAGTGCATTTGCAAATTAAGCGGGAAGGATTGAAGCAATCTGGTTAAGCTGGGACTGTAGTCCTTATTAAAATGACACCATTCTTCATGGCACAATATGCTGGTTGGAAAATCTGACTGAAAGTTGAACTGGTGCTTTGTCTCTAGAAGCTTTGCTGAAAGAACAACATACAAGAAAAATTGATTTTTAGAGCCTGGATGATGAAAAATTTAAATGTGAAGAATTCTCACAAGAAATCTGTGGAGATAAAAGTTGCACAGTTAACTCATTGTATGTGATTAATCCATCAGTAATAAAGCATTGTGTCCTGTATAATTAGAGGTTAATTTCTTCACAGTTTCTGTCAGGCAGAAGCACCAGTTTATATTATTTTAGTTATTATAAATCTAATGAATATATCTTTATTTCTTTCTTGGGCCTTCTGATGTCTATTCTTCAACTCTCTCATCTCTGATCTTCAACCTTTGACCTCACCTGCCTGATCAGATGGTGTTTCCTAAAATCAATCATGGGTTTCTCTCTGCTGATCAGCAGCTCATTAAACGCCGCCTCATTAAGGTAGTGCTTGATCTCACTGGAATCTGGTTCTTCTTTACATTCAGTTTACTCTTTGCTGTACCTTTTTTGTCAGATGCCTTCTTATAGCAGGTTGTTCATTTGAAAATATTTTGGAATGAAGCAATTGTTGGTGAAATTTATCACTTAAAAGACTATGATCAGCTTTGCTGAATGGTCCACATTTAAGATGCAGTCAGCTTTTTTCAGTGGTTTGCAGAAATGTTCTACTGGAAGTTAATTAAATTGAGCACTATTTTTTGTGATTTTTTTTTTCAAAAGGGGAAGGTAATATGTTTTGGCAGCTTTCTTGAAAATTGCCATTGAAATTTGGCTTTTGCAAATTAATTGGTCTAAATCATTAAGAGAGTTGGCTAATTATCACTCTAAAATGGCTCCCCAAAACAGTTTAAATATTATGTGCAGGTTTTTAGAAAAGTAATTATTTTCCATCCTCATTTTTGAAGTCTTTCTCTGCATCACTGATGGGCCCTGGAAGATTGCTATGTAAACTTTACAATTCTCACAGATACTTTTTTTTTTTTTTTTAAACTGAGCTTTGTTATGATCATGACAATCTTAAAGCAAACGTTTCACCTGCTTGTTAAAAATAATTACGTTCTCTGGAAAACTGGATGAGTAAAAGTTTGCTAAGCTACCCCAAATTTTAATTGTAAGTCCTGCTGTAGGACTGCTGTAGCAGTTTAGAATCTGAGCCTTCTGCCCTGCGACTGTTTGCACTGGACAGGTGCAACACACTGGTCTTCAGGCAAAGTGCTATCTCTGCCATAAGAAGTGAAAAAGCCAGTAATCAGCTCATGGCAGTTACTTCCAGCCTGTCTTGCGCTCTTTCTAGGTAAATCAAGTGCCAACTTGTGTGATTGATGCCTCTAAAGCAAACTTCTAATAGCGTTTTTTTGTTGGTTTAGGGGGACCAAGGACAAGCTGGACCCCCTGGGCCTCCAGGGCCTCCAGGACCCAGAGGTCCCCCAGGAGATACTGGCAAAGACGGTCCTCGAGGGATGCCTGGCGTACCGGTGGGTTAGTCTGTTGCTGTTATGATGTCCAGATTCCTCTCATGTGCCAGCTCACCTTCCAAGATATTTTATAAAATAAGATTTGTGAATATAATTGTGGAAGCTGAACCTTCCACAGAGACAGACTATGTGGCATACCTAAAGAGAGAGAAGGACATACACGCACATACACATACGCAGATACAGCAGGGCTAAGGGTAACACCTAGGTGTCTTGCCTTCCATCCCTGGTAGTTTTTCTCCACAGATTCTAGGATTTCCGAGTTGCTCGTTGATGTTTTAATAGCTGTGTGAGGAGGGCCTGTCCTGCTCTACCAGTAGCAAATGTTTCTACTCAGGCTTTGAGATAAAGCTAAATTGGAGACAAGGTCATTGCATGGACTGGCTTGACTGCTAGCTTCCTAATGATTTAGCCTCAAAAATCCTGAAGTTAAAGTGATAAATTGCTAAACACTGGCTGCCCAAAGTATGATAAAACACTCCAGCTACTCCGTTCTTTGAATCAGATTCTGCCATCTTTACACAAGTAGAAAAGTACTGTTTTCTTTGACTTGTCCCTCATATTTCATTAGAGCTACCAGCAGAATCCAGTATATTGTTCATTGTTTGTTTTAGGCACAGGATCAGACCCAGAGCTTTTTGGCTCTTCGTGACCTGATGAAAAACTTTTTAAACAGACACATAAACGCATGACTTTTTTTTCCAAAATGTGAAATTGTTTTTTGTTTTACATTTTGTGACCTCCTCAAATTTCCTATCTTTTGAAAGAAGTATCTCTCCTTTCATTATGAATCTCCATGTGTTATTAATATGGAAGCAGAGTCTCAGACAGGCGATAAGAGAACTGAAGCGTCACATGTGCAGATCCACGCATACACACCTCGTAAGTAAAGGTCAAGGCTGAGAGTACATATAGAGAACTAGCAAGGTGAAGAGCAGCACTAGAAATAGAAACAGTTTTTGAAAGAAAAATCAAACTCATTATGTGAGGCCAGGACAGGAAGGCAAAAAACTTCCGTGCAGGGCCTTTTTAGGTAAAAACAAGAAAGAAAATATCTAAGCTACTATTTTGGCCTTGTTCAGGTTTCCTAATCCAAAATTGTACTAACTGTACAAATATAACATAACATGATCGTAATAGTAGGGCTCTGCTAAAACTTCCTGGGAAAATCCAGTAAGACTTTGCAATTAAGGACTGTAATACTTAGGTTTCTTAACAAAATTGCCCTGAAAATTTCTAAAACAAGATTATGAAATGGCAGTTAAATCTATTGCTATCGTTTGAAATGCTTTACTTTGGCTACCTACTCATTTTCAGTTAGTCCTGCAGTACATCCATGTTTTGGACTTCACCTGGATATCCCTTGTATTTGTTTAATGTGGTACAGTTTGACTGCGTTCAGCATCTGCTTCTGGTTTGATGTGGTGGTGAGGCTGAAACCACAACCAATTTCTAATGCAGTGATAACACTTTTGTAGTTTACGTACATGAAGCTAGGAGAATCAGTTGTTATAGGAAGTACTGCTGATTACAATGTGACTGTGGGTTGCTTGGGGTTTTTTGGCCTCTCAGCAAAGGGAACATTAGTGTTTCTCATTACAGGAAAGTAATGCGTTTTATGCAATGAGGTCATTCCACTTTATAATAGTTCTGTAGTGATTTTGACTTTAGATGGCAAGAGAGAGTTTCTTTTTATAGTTTTTTAAAATGTGGCTATCTTAAGCCCTATGGCATCATGAAAAATCAGTTTACAGTACTGCTAGAATCAGATGCAAACAAGCGCTCAGATGGAAACCACCCAGACTGCTGATTATTGTTACCATCTTGCTCCTTCTCAGTGTCCTGTAGCTTCAGGTTAATGTTGCTCATCCTCAACAGGCTTGTTCCTCCAAGGTTGTGTGATTGATATTTAGTCAGGCAGGACACCTGTAAAGGGAATACATGGCCCACAGGTAGCGACAGCTTTGTATTTTTAAAGGATATGTGTGGACTTTTCAGCTGAAGAGCAGTCCCTGTTGTCCTAAACATTCAACAAAACAGTAGCTGTGAATTGTTAGGAGCCTGGATGTTCCAGCGTCCCACATCTGGAGGAGGCAGTCCTCACCGTCATTATAAGGCAATCATTTCCTCCTTTGCAATGCTAGGCAAAGAAACAAACAAAAAAAACCCAAAGAACGACTCTTCTCTTCCAGCCTGTTCTTCTCAAGCAAAGTCCTTACAACCGTCAGATCTCTAAGATGTTTTGGCCCCCTCCTTACCCATGCCCATACACTTGCTGTGTATCCCGAGAAAGTCAGGAACCAAACTAGCAAGGCAGAGGGAGCAGCTCTAGCCTGCAACCTTCGTTACTGCTCGTCCTCTGTGTAGCAGGGTTGAGAAGCAGTCTGTGTGCTCGCAACATCTCTATCTGTGCTATTAGTACCTCACATGCTAGAAGTGTGTATCCTATTCCAGATACTTAAAGCCTCTAGAGATTAGGACGAGGCAGTTTCTGGGCAGGAAATCTTGAGAGGTGAGGAGGTAGAAATAGTAGGGAAATGCTGCTGGGCCTCTTGCCAGCAAAGAGGGCACCAAGGAAGGATAGGGATGTAAGGAATGGTTGTGCCAGCTTCTGCCAAGTCTTTCTTTGGAGATCAGCAGAAGAAACAGTTAGGACTTGAACATATTTGCCTTTGCATAGAGCAATATTCAGCATTGGTGCTTCCCCTGCCATACCCTTCCTATCACCAGATTCCAGTACAAGGGCTTTGAAACTTTAGCACCTCCAAAAAGAAGTGGAAGGAGAAAATAATTCTTTCCTGGTAATGGAGCAATAGAATATGATGGCAGGTCTTGAAATCCTTTCACTGTAAAGACGATGTGTCCCAACATTTATGGACCTATCCTGATGCTGATTTCAGGCTGTGAGATTGCTTGTATATACAAGTTAGCAAGGCTTCAGAGTGAGCTGAAAAGTCCAACAGGCTTGGGTAATTAGCTGTCTGATGCCTGTGCTTGTGTGGTTTCTCTCTCCTGGGTATCTCAATGTGTTTGCAGATGGCACATTTCTGCTTCTGAAGGCAGTGCACACGTACCCAGAGAAGCAATTCTAATTCTTTTTAATTGTCAAAAAGATTAGCATCATCACAATGCTCACTAATTTCTTAACAGTAGGTTTTCTTTTGCGACAAAGCTTTTAAAGAAGATCCTGCAGCTGTGTTGATGCAAGAATACGTGGGCTGCCCTATGAACTGTTGGGTTTACAAGGCAGTGATGTGTAAACCAGGTTGTTGAAATGATCAGAACTCTGCTTTTGGATGGGTATTTTTAGCCTGTATTTTACAACTGATCCATTTACTGGCTCTGTAGACAGTTATATGTGTACATGTGGGAAAAGGGGATCACAATAGGTTCTGACTTAATGTAGAGTGGTGCCTACAGAAAGAGAATGCATGGCAAAAATTATGGGTTACCGTTTTGAAAGCCAGTCTAGATATTTAACTGCTGAAAATAATAATTATTGCATGACTTCAAAATCACAATATTCATGTGTTTATGCAACATGATAATATGCAGCAGTAGGTTTTGCCTGGTGACTGAGGTGATGACACAGAGTAGTAAGTAATTTTAGAATACATAAACACTGCGATTCGGCACATGTGTGAAAATAACCTTTCTCTGTGTCCTTTAGTACCACTGACTGGAACGGAATATTTTGATTGGAACAAAGAGACTGGGAGTCAGGACATGAGTACTTAATTGTTGCTTGGAGAACTAACCTATTAAAAGATTATGAAACAGTATTTTGCCTTTTAAAATGTTTGTGATTTGGCCTGTTACTTAAAAAAAATGCATATATGCATATATATGTGTATATATATATATATATATTTGATGTGCAGTCAACTACCATATTTGTTTAAGAATGGAATTTTAATACACTTTGATATTAGGTACAGAACTGAACGCTGAAATTATTCCTTTTTTTGTTTTGTTTTGTTTAAGGGGGAGCCAGGAAAACCAGGTGAACAAGGATTGACAGTAAGTACTCCTCTTTTCTTTTCCAGTTTGCTAATAACTTGTAACAGAATACATATATACTTTTTAAAATGTGAAACTTCAAAACACTTTATGACTATTTATTCCCTAACCTTTTTTTGTCACAGACTATTTGAAGTCTCATCTGTGAAGAAAAGATGAGAAAGACAAATTTCCTCCTCTCACATAAAAATGCCTGCTATATAAGGCCAGAAGAATCTGGCAGAAGTAGAGGGAAATAGGAACAGCTAGGTGCACAGCAAAGGAAAAGAGCCAACTCAGTTGTCCCCCACTTATAAAGCCCCACTCCTGGAGGCACCTGTTTATCACTGCCTCCAAAGTTGAGTTGTTTCTACCTTGTGAGCGTGGGGCAGCAGAATAGCTATCTACTTGTTTAAAGGGAAAAGTCTCAGTTGTCTCTCTGGCAACAATTCTGGCCCCTTTCCTGCCAGAATAGTGAATACACAGCACTGCATACTGAAACTCTGAGTATTCTTCTTGATATCTTCTTCTTTTTTTCCCCTCTGTATGGGAGAATGTAACAGCCAAATGAATGTTTTTTACAGTAAGTGTTTTCTATTGCATCCAGAACTAATTAATCCTGTTCGTTTGGAAACAAATTGAAGCTCCACTGCTTTTAAGCCAGCTTCAGCCACAGGGTAAGGCATCAGAAGTTTCTGATTGTCACATATTCCCAGCCTGTGAAGCCTGCAGTGATTTTTTTTCCCCTTAACACTCTCAAAACACTCATGGTCGTTCTTATTTTTTATGTGAGATGACAGAACTGTAGCCCATGGCATGTGGTTTTGATTCCTGAATGCTTCTGAGTAGGAATATTATGGGCTCAGCAATCAGATCAGATATGATTGCTAACTGTTTGAATTCATGAAGTTTTACATAGGTATGATGGTACACTACTGTGACAAATTGTAAAACATTTTGGATTGCAGTGGGCACGTATTTTTCACAGAAGATAAAACTAGGATTCTTAGGCTCTGAAATACCCTGCTGTGATCAGACAGTTAAAATCTTGTAGCTTTTCGTTTCAAGATAATGATGTAACAAGACAAAACCCAAAGCCTCCTGAAGGTACCATGGAGAGTTTTGGCAAGTTACTGGATTCTTTTTAGTTCTGTGCTCCTTTTGGTTCTTGATTGCCTGTTGTTAATTATGTGCATAATAGCTGTGAAGGATGTTTGTTTGCTTTGTTTTACTTGTAATATTCTTCTATTTGCCCTCTGGATCAAAATCACTTAGATTCTACAACAGTGTCTTCCTTCTCTTCCTGACCAGATCTTCAGGGTCAAAGAATTGCTGAGGTTTTTTAGGAGTAAAACATTCTCCATCACTTTTTAGTCTCCATGCTCAGAAGATTCCCATCTTTCTAAAGTAACCAGCCTTGTATAAGTACAAAAGAACTGCTACTGATCTGTTCCTCTACATCACCCATGAGAGTGTGTTTAAATAGGGAGAAAAGGTGTTTTAAAAAGCAAATCGGCAAGCTGAGTTAGAAAAAGGTTCTAAACTACTTGAATTCCTACCCCTAAATGCCAGGTCTAAAAGCTATTATGATTTCAGAAGTATATAAGTTGTGTATAGATCAAATAAAGAGCATCAGAATATCAGAGAGGCAGTTAATTTTTATTCCTCTTGCTGCTCTTGACATACCTTTTATGCCAGTACAGATTTTCAGACTGTCTCTGTGGAAAATAATCATTTACTGTCTGTAGCTCCTTCTGACATCTTCCATCGTATATTTCTGCACTACAAATATTTCTGTATTTCCATACTGAAAATTGAGATGCTACTGCATCTCAGCCTGTTGAGGCAACAACCCCCTGTTGGTTTCCTACTTGCCCACATGTGCAAGGCACTTTCCAGTAAGAAACCAAGCACTGTGTCATGTGCTCTGGAGGTTCTTCCAGGATGGAGGCAGGATACAGCCAAGGGGAGCACCAGGTGCTGTGAAACAATCCCTACAGTTTGGATGTGTTTGCTGAAGTTGATGAAAGTCAAAGCCAGTTTGTATCCTGTAGGATCATACTGTTAGTGTAATTAAAATCAGTGATGCTGTTCAAGTGAAGAAGAGTTTGCAGCCCTGAGCTCAAGGTTATAATAATGGGAGTAGAAGTTGTTCTCTTTTATGTTTTGGCAACTGTGTTTGGTAAGATGCCTTGGTATTTCTTGGTGAATGTACAAAATAGTATGAGAGCTGATAAACTAAGCTTTAATCCGTGGACTAGCAACTGCACAGCTTGAAATTACTTAGTTTTCTATTTTCCCTTCTTCCAAGCGGAGGAATAAAACTCTTGCAGAGTGAAAGATGGTAGATAATGAGATAACAGCATGTTTTCCAGCTTGTATCTCAGAATGCACCATAAGCCTATTACACCATGTTGAGTAACTTGTGACCTACTCACACAATATATGCCTTGATTCACAAAAAGTTTAAAACATTTTAATGCATTTGGAATTCTGGGAAGTGTTCACATTCTCATTTCATTGAAATAGGAAATTCAGTTGCTTTAGTGAAAACATGGCAATTTACTCCAACTGATAATCTGCTGCCGCATGCTCCCCCATTTTCAAAAAAACTCTGTGTCAATAAAGAAAATCACGTTTCAGATGATGTTATGAGAGAAGGCAGTAATGATTCAGTGCCTCTCTCCATATCAGGCGGGAGAGGTTTGCTTGGACCAGATACAGAGAATGACAAAGTCTGAGGTCTCTTGCATGAGTTCTCCTGCTTTGGCATGAAAGAGCTCAGCCTATCTTGAGTGCACAAGGGAACGTAACTTGAGAACAGGGAATGGCTTCTCTTTTTTCCCCATTTATAATATAAGTATGTGCAGACAGGGGATAGGCTGAGGAAGGAGAGGGTTCGGAAAGCCAGTTGTCGCATGCAGGGATCTCTTTGTTCTCCATTGAAAATCTTTCCAGATTGTCAGAGTGCCAATCTGCTTCTATTGCTCCCCTATCCATGTGGTTGCAATGTTGTGGAGAGCTGTTTCCAAGGTTTTTCAGCTCTGTTGTTCTTATGTCAGGAAGGACCTATTTCCTCTTAGACCCAAATAGTGTTCAATTCACTTTTGGTATGATGGAGGCATAGGTTTAAATTGGAAAAATTAAATTAGTTTGAAGTATGTATCCTTAATATCAGAAGGATATGTAAGAACGACTAGTTAATTGCAATCCGTGTCTAGTTTCCAGGACACCCTGGAACAGCCACTCTCTACAAAAGGTAAAGAGGATCTGAAGTTTTCCCCTGCCTTAAGTTCTTGAAGATACCCTCATTCCTCCTTGCAGAAAGAAGTAAGAGAATTCAGAGGGAGGTCGAGCAGTGTGGTGACACCAAAGGGGCAGTAAATTTTGAAATGTTATGTGGAACAAAATGTCTGCTCTGGAAGAGGGAAGGCCGGTAGTTCCCTTGATTTTTCACCCTTTTCAGTTAAAGCTGTGTGCTGCTTCTCATAATTCATCTCTCTGCCCATGTCATATACCTGGTCTTCCTGACAAGGAGGACTTTTAAATGCCATATAAGAATTCTTCTGTTTTATCTTCGCATTTTTAGCATGGATCATAAGTGAATTTGTGATCATTCGGAACTCAAAAGCTAAGATTCCTAGGTGCAGACTATTATTAATGAGTACTTAAATTGTGGTCAGTGACAGGAAAACTCGAAGGCTGATACTCATAGATTGACGTTTTCAGACTGTTAAATTGCAATACAACAGACACTGTGCTTGGGGTGTTTTTGTTTTGAATTCCTGTACTGGAAGGTTTTTTTAAACATTATTGGTGCTTTTATGTTTAGAAGAGTTTTAAACTAGTGCATAGTGAAAAAAATTTGGAATTTTAAAAATTTGCAATGATTTCAGCTCCTTGGAAAAGAAGTCAGTGTAAACATGTTCAGTGTATGAGTCAACCACTTAATTGTCACTGAAAAAAATACATATTATTTTTTTTCCCCAGAAATTGGCTTTCAAGTCATATAATTAATTTTATAGCTGTTTTGCATGAAAAAAACAGTCCAAAACAAGCACAGTATTCAGGTAAAGGTGTCTCTGTGCAAAAGAAATCAACACTATAATGATTAACCCAAACACAAAATCCCTGTGCTTACGATGTATATGCCAGACTAGCAGTTTTGTACTTATTCAGACTTATTGGGCATCTGATCAGGAAAACTAGACCTGATGTTATTATTTTTCCTAGTTATTCAGACTAGGAAAGTTATTCCTTCTTCCCAAGAATATTGCCATATCTGTGAAGGACAGCCGAAGAGAGTAACTTCTGCAGTTAACTATGCAAAGCATCACATCTTTAAAATGAATTAATAATAATTTTTCATTTGATGTAAAAAATGAACAAAATGAACTCGGAGAGCAGGCAGAACTGACTGGGCCAAGGCTAGATGCATGAATCCTTGTAGCTTCTATGGGAAATGGCTAATAGCGATTTTGTTTTCAATAGGCAGAGCTCTTGCTGCAGCTCTTTTTGTTTCACTCTGGTAGCACATCCATAGAAAATTTTAGAAGGAGATGTTCTCAATCAGTTTAGCTGCAAAAGTTTGCAAAGAACTGGCAGCTGAAGGGTAAAATCTTAGTCAGTGCCTCTCATGGTGGTTATTTTTTACTCAATACAAATGTAATTGGCCTGAACTTACAAGTACTAGTCTTAGGAGAAAATAGTCTTTGGCATTTTGTAACCTCTATACTTCAGTAACTGTTGTCTGGAATGTCAAAGCAATGATTAGGAAAAAGATGATGCGAAGCTCTATCTGAGCACTAATTAATAGTTATTGCTGCTCTTTTCATGAGTGCGGGCAATGGCTTAATCAGAAGTTATATGAGGTTTCCCGTTATAATGAATCTGTTTTCTTATCTGTTGTTTTATCTAGGCAATTCATCAATACTAAAGCATTGCGCCTTTCGGTACTAGTAGTCAAGAGATTATGATCTTTATAAAACACTTATCAAACATGCAGCAACATGACTGCAAAATTACTTTGTGTGCCAACTGCACGCAGAAAATGGAATCAGTGGGCACAACACTGACTCTGCTGTGGTGAAAGAGAATACTTTGTGTGCAACCTGCTCTTTGCTCTTCATGGGCATCTGCTAGTTTAGGTTTCTTTCCTAAGTTTTTTATGCCTTTAGATTGGTAATTAGAAAGTTGGTGGAAATAAGGAGATGTTTCATGATTCCTGTAGGCACCAAAGGGGAAATATGCATTCTCAGGTGCAGTCTTGGAACTTTTTTTGTCCCACAGACATATGGATACAGTACCTTCTAAAGTCCTTCTAGTTACAAAGAACTTTCACTTTAATTAGGCAATATGCAAGTTTAAACAAACAGATTTTTTTGCTAAGCTTTAGTATAAGAGAGTTTTTGTATAGCAGTGTATTTCATTATTGCGAAATATTTTACTTTAAAACTTTTTCAGTGTACAAAAACACTCATTTTTCTATTATTTTTTCTTTAGGAGCTTTCATGTGGTGTTTGCACTCCCTGTCCATGAAATCTGATCCCTTGTGAAACAAATCATTACTGCTGCCCCAGACTTGCAAACAGAAGATACCCCAAACCTTGATTTCCTACATTTCTTTAAATATTATTAAACAACTAAGACATTTGAAATTGGTTACAAAAACGCCTTGAAAAGCTATTGCTAAAATGGCACACCCTAAAATTATTGTGCTTTTGAACTGCAACCTTTACAGGGCAGAATTGTTTCCTATTTTGCAGCTTGCTAAAATACAAATAACAGATTATGATTAAAAGGGAAAATATAATTGTAACATTAGATGGGAGGCCTAGAAAGAATCCTCAACTCAGTGCATGTATTTTGACTACATTTGGGTTAGCCTTTTCTTTCTAACATAATGTCAGAAATATGGTCAGCTGGACTATTTTCCTACCGCCTTCCCTCTGCACTGTGGCCACAACCACTTAGGTGCTTTGGAGACTCCAGATGAGAAATGGGTTCTGTTAAAATCAATGGGACTTTGACTCCTTTATGACATTAAGCAGCCTTCCTGAACTGAAACATCTCTTCTTGCCATCTTAATTCATGGGGAAAAGAGAATGCTTTTTTACTTCCCAAGAGTATTCTTAATGATTTCTGAAGTATTTACTGTTACTTGGAAATGATGGCACAGATTGTATGTTGGGGTAAAACACGGTGTTGTATCCTGATACCTTTAAGGAACTAGAAGGTGAAGAGATTTTGAGGCATATGCTTCTCTCTGTCTTAAAAGATACTTGGTTGCATAAACCTTGCTTTTATACTGCCAAGCAGATATGTTCCTGCAGGCACACAAGTGGCTTTTAGCTGGTATCAGAAACAGGAAAACCTCAGTCTTCATAATGCTGATGGATTTGTCAGTATTGGAAGAAACAGATGGGATGGAAGAGAAAAGATTAGAAGAGGGGAAAGTTTGGGTCTTCTAGTTAGTAGTTAAATCTTTTCCAAAAGAGAAGAGAAAAGGTCCATTGTGCAGCAGAAAGTTTTACTTTTCCTTGATGCATAAAACATCAGCTGGTTTCAGTCCAGTTTCCGAATGTTTACACAATAAGACATTTTTAATTGGTCATTTAACTTTAAATTAACAGTTTAAATTGGCTACAGTTAATATGTTAATTAAATTGTTTTCCCTTTGCAGGGACCTCAGGGGCCTGCAGGACAAAAGGTATAGTATAAACAACTATGCTGTGAAAGTGATTATTCTTCCTGGTGCTAAATTGTAAGCAGAAAAGGTGAGTGGAATTAGCTACTGTACACCACATTGAATCAGTTAGTTTAGGCTCTGAATTTTTTTTTGTGCAAGCATATAATGTGAGACATAAGATTTCTAATTTACCCATTAAAGGAAGTTCAAGCAATGCAGAGCAAACTTTTCAGTCTGTCTTAACTTTCAGATGAAAAGGTTACTATAGTTTTCTTATTCATGCACTGGTATAGCTATGAAACCAAAGTTAAAACATTGTGAAAGATGGGGAGATAGAGTTTCTGATTAAATGCATGTCCTTACTCAAGTAGATCAGTGCCATATGACTAAAAAATTGACCAGCAGAAACAAAGGACATAGATGTTGCTGATAAATTATGTTTGACTGGCTGTATTCAGGTGGTTTGTCCGTGTCTTCCTGTTTCTTCAGTAACCTGAGAACTGACTTCCTGTAAATGCTTTCAGCTTTGTTTACACTTGTTAAAACTGATGGCCTCAGTTTGATGGAGTGAACTTTGGATTTATAGAATTATGCTGTTAAAACAATCCTAAATATATTGGCAATAGCAGCTAGTAAGTGGCACTTTTCCAGCGTCTCACCACATACCACCAAGGCAGATCATTTTCAAAGGTACTTCAAAAGATAAAAGGTGTTATGGAAGATATAAAATAAAATGGGCTTAGTTTGTGTAAAGAAATAAAAGAATAAGTAGTTTTAACGTATGTGAGAAAGATATTCCCTCTGTTTTTCTTTGTCTGAGTTCATATTCTTGAAAGTGACAGTTTGCTTGCCTCTGTTAAAATGGAATTTTTCAAACAAAAGGAAAAAACCAGCTGATACGTAAAAATATAATCCCAAAGCATATAAATCAGTGCAATTTTGTCAACTGTGAGCAGGACAGAGTTTACAGGTTGAAGGAGACTACCCTTCATGTCTAGCAATGCAAGGATGTGACATGAAACGTTGCCATTATAAAATTATTTCCTAAGATCCCAGTGGGGTATTTCACACATATAGCATCAGCAAAATCCATGTGCTGATGTATTTTTGAAAACTTTTACTTGCTTAAGGACATGGTAGAATCAGCATTATTTATGCTCTCTACCATAAATATTTTGTAAGAAAAATCAGTAGGTGTTTAAGGCTGTTGTTGAGAGCAGGAACTTTATAAAAAGGATGGCTTATTCAGTCTGATGGAGGGTGAGCAAAACTCACCCTCCTGAATTTTGTCTTCTAGTTTCATGGAAAAACAATACAAATATGTGAAAATGTTCACTAAGGCCCCTTTGCACCGGCTAGCAGTTAATGGCCATGCATCTGGCAAACAGAGGCAACAGCAATCTTTAGGAGTAAGGGAAAGTTTTGTGGGACATGGGGACAGGCTGAAATGCCAGTGTGTTGTTTCTTGCTAGGGTTCCAGTGCTACTGTATGGAATTCAACCAGGTTCCTACTGATTTGCAGCTCTCTTATGAGATGGAGCCTCTTGGGAGTTTTTGAGGCCCTCATGTGTCCTTCCTTTTCTTTTATTACAGGATTATTCCATCCATTATTTTATCAACTCTTTTCATTGATGAACATGTACATCCATTCTGGATGCATTCCGTTCTGGTTTTGGTGTCCTTTCCTAATCCATTTGTAATGAAACTTCTAACTGATGTGGGTAGAAGGGAGAATGCCATGTACTGATTCTTGAGTCTCAAAGAAAGCAGGGCCTGTAGGGCTTCACAGGGTGCTTATTTGTACAAAAGGTAATAGGCAACTGCACATTTCACTATTGGCAAAGCCTCTGCCTTTCCCAGTACCCTGACCTCTTTTTAGAGTGTCAGCCTTTCAAACATCTGTCTTGCTTCTGTGACTTGTTCATATGTTCAGAAATGAAAAATAAAAATAATTATTTCAACTTCCTTGCTGTGCAACACCATTATTATAAAAAAAAGAAAAAAAGGAAAAAGAGAATGCTGTGTAAGCCCATACAGTTTTCCTGCTTTCCTCATGCCACAGGTTTTTATTAAATATCTATATTGACAGTTATACAAGTTTCTACAAAGAAAAAACCCTGTCCGTTGTACAGAAACTTAAAGTTGTACAAGAGCTTTGTAAAAAGACCCCTCCAGTGTTACAGCTCGGTGCTAATTCTTTGCTTTCCTTCTTTACGTCTGCTCCTTGTTTCTAGTCTCTGTTGGTTTTTCAATTTTGATTGCAGTAATGCTGATGCAATTTAAAAGGATATCTTTAATTTGCGCTGTTGGGCGAAATTGTTGCAGATTTTCCCTTGAAAGCTTTCAGATAGATTGGTGCTACCTGTTATTGTGCTTGAAGCATCCCTCTGAAGCATAGATGTTTTTGGTCAGGTGCTATGTTAGACTGTGTAAGATCAGTCTTCAAAATTCATCCAGAGCATTAAAAGGACTGGCATTTTAATTCTTAAATTTCTTGTAAAGCATCAGTGACGTTAGAAGGTAACCACCAGCTTGAAGTTCCCTTCTGAAATGGGAAATAGAGTGGGACAGTCTTTAAATGTACAATATAAGAACATGTCTAATTAGTATAAAAGATAAGATGGGAAGAGATCTCAGCTTGAATAAAAATAGTTTTTTTGAAAAATTTATTGCCCTTAGGATATGCAAGCATTCAACATCGTTTTTAAGTATTATGTTAAGGGATGAAATGTTTCATGATCTGTTTAATTTGCTAAATATAGGTGTCTGTTTCCCACTAGGGTTCTGTTGGAGTGCCTGGTGTTCCAGGGAGAGATGGGCAAGTGGTGAGTTCACTTGACTTAGTCTGCACTGAACTTTTTTAAGTATTAGATTAAAGCCAGTCAAAGCTCATCCACATTAGCAATATGGAATAGTACATCCAGAGATGTGATCTTAACTGCATATAGTCTCGTTTGTGTTCTGAAGTCACTTTTTTCTATTTTTTCACTTAAATAGGCAAGGAATATAATTAATTAAACTAAAGGTTTGATTTTCAGCTTTGATGATGACTGATGGATTGCAGAGAGAAATGCATATTAGTCATGTACAACTTTAGACAGTATTTTTACAAATTATGTTTTTACAGGATTTCTTTACTTTCTTTTAGCTCAATCCTGCAATGTAAACAGTTATGTTGCTATGGGATGTTTATACAGTGCCAAGTACAGTAATAATGCAAGCTATAGATAGGGAATAGTAAGAAAACTAGAAATACAAGTGCAAAATAATATGAAATTGAAATTGGGGAGAAAATGCAGAGAAATTAATAAAGAAAAAAAAACCTCAAACACAGGTGGGAGGAAATATTAACTCATTAACTCAGGCAAGTCAGTGCTGTCACCAACTTGAATCACAGTTCAGAATGGCTCTCCATAAAGAGGGGTTTCAGGAAAGCAGCAGGGGTATTCCACAACTTTGCTAAGGTTTGTTGGCAGAGCTGCAGGGTGAAGTTCACATAATATCCCTTCTCTGACTGTAAACCGTGTTATCCATCTGTTGTTCTCACAAGCACTTCAGAAACACTTTCAGGGAATACTAAAAGGAAAAATTATAACATAGGCCATTCACTGTGTTTAAGGAGCAATGGATGATAGTGTATAAAGATCTCCTGCCCCTCCTACCAAGAGCCCCAGGAAAAAACCCAAAGATGTTTTAAATAGTTCAATTTTAATTGCTCTTTCCTAATAGAATGAATATATCATTTCTAATTCTATAAAACATAGTATTATACCTCTGTTTTGACAGTGGTGATAACAAATGATTTAGTAATCAGTCATATTGCTTTAGTGACATGCTATGAACATAATATTTTTACAATATTCAGAATGTTTTAACTGCTGCAGAACAAAGAAAGAAAAATTATTTGGAATAAGCCATATATTGCACACAAGAAAGTGTAAGAAAGTGTTACAAAATAACGATGCAATGAAGACCTGATATTTTTCCTTGATAATTTATGGCTGCATTCGGTTGTGACATGAATGGAAAACAGTAAGGATCTTTACTCACGTGAGCATAAAAATTGTTACTGGTGAAATAACTCAAATATGCAAAGTTTATTTGATTAAAAAGCATTGTTTTAGGAGATTTAGATTTTTTAAGATGTATTGATAAAGTCTATGTTCATCTATTTTTGAAAGACCACATAGACTTAGCTGTATTCATGCTTCATGGAAAAGAAAGAAAATATGTGGTTGCATTTGATAAAGGAAAAAGTGCAACACATCTTTAAATGCCCCTTTTCAGCTTTAAGCTGTGCTTTAAAAACAGATCCTAACATTTTCAATTTAGGGTTTTATGTTTATTTGATTTATTTCAATATTTATGGCATCTAAAGCATTGAAGACACTCTTAAATGTTGTCGCTTTTGATAAAGTTGTGAACATGTTTTTAATGTAGTTGGACTATTTTACTTTTGACCTGTGAGAAAGAATAGCTGTATTACTAAACTAGAATCTAAATACCAGGAGGAAAACCATATAGATAAAAATGAAATAAGGTCAAATTTTTTTGGCTTTTTTTGTCAAATTGACTTTTTTTTGTCAAATTCACGGTTGTTAGTTGATTTTAACTACCAAACGTTTCGTTATGTGCCAATAATATGTTACTTTTATATAGTACTAAGCAGACGAAGGTTGACTGTTGAGATCTCTTTTAGTAAATGGTCAAGTTCAGCCAGCCTGGAAATTCTCTTAGAAAGAAAATTAAACTAAAATACTGTTTATCTGAATTTGATATTATTAAATATAATACAGCCTAGAACAACCATGCTACTATGTTGCTACCAAAAGGTGAATTCTTTCAAATTACATGTAAAACCAGATTCTCAGTGCAGTGGTATGCAGAAGGTACTGTTGACTGGAGCCCAGAATATTAATTTTAGCGTCAGACTTCTCTATCTTTGAACTTTTAAGTACAGCCTTTTGAGGAGTCAATATTTACACTTACGGAGCTAGTCCGTATACATTAGAGTTGGCCTGTACTGTGAGCTGCTTGCTGTCTTTACTCATACAGATTCATGTTTATTTGAAGTGGCTTGAATGCATGGTGCAAGTCATCTGCTTTTGAGAAGACACATGGTTAAAAGGCTTTACAAAAGCCTTACAGTCTTGATAGCCTTTTAATCAGTGAACTGCTGTCGAACAGCAGCATGTGCAGTGCAAGAAGTTCCAGATTAATTTTTTCCTACTCTAAAAGGCAGTGAGCGTTAAGCACATGCTTAACATTAAGTGTGTATGTGAATGCTTTCCTCAGCTGGGCACTGAAATATCTTTCAGCTGATCAGTGTTGGCATTGAATTTAGCTTTGTTCTCCCCTTGAGCAGTTGAATAATATAGAGCTAGGTCATCTCCATCATGTGTCTCTCTCTAATTTTTCTTTCCCTTTCCCTTGACCTCTTCTTTAATTGCAGTAGTGGGTTATCAGGTTATTGACAACTCTGACCAATGAGTCTAGGAATTAGACCATAAATTCTGAGTGCATTTAGAGCAATTTTCTAATCCGTTAACACGTGCACCACTTTTCTCAGATGATCTCTAAATGCTAGACTAAGTGTTATTTTATATGACCTACATGTTTTAGCAGGAGTGTTAACTAGTAGATTTTGTTCCACCAAAAGTAGTGGCACAGTTATCCCCATAAAAACGTGACACTTTTTTTCTTTTAAACCAAATCCAATGAAATGTTAGAAGTATTCTTGCAAGGGTATTTACATTATTTGTGTGATACGTGGATCAGTAACAGCATATAGTTGCTTTTAGGAAATTGTAACCACGTTCTGCTTCTTTAGTTGAGAACAGTAACTCAAAAGGAGCCACCTAATAATGCTACTAGAGGCATTGTTGTCTCTGGGACAGGCAGAAACTTTTGAGAGAGCAAGGAGAGTACCTCTGAGCGTTCCCTTCCTTTTGCAGACCAGTGTGCAAGCCACCTTGTAGTAGGTTGCTTCCTAGCAAAATGCTAAGAAGATAACCCTTATTTCCTCATGTACTTGGAACAGAAGGAAAAAAGGATTATGCCTGCATGGAGATACAAGGTTGCAGTGATCTAGGGTTATCGGGTAAGGATTGCTAGCAACTGCTGCAGAGACATGAGGAGGAAGGGAGAGAGAATTTATTCCCTAAATAAGGATTGTATTGGGCCTGGACCAACTTAGTTTCCGATCAGTGGATTGGAGGCTGTGTAACTCTCTTAGCTTGAAGTAAGACTACTTCTACTTCTTCCATGGACTGTTTTCACTTGTAGAGTGCTTGATATTTGTATTATTTTGTCAGAGCGTATCAAGAACAGAATGTGCAGTTGGTGTTGATCATTTCATCTTAAATTGTTTCAGTAGTTTGATGACAGCAGTTTGATAAGCCCCAGAAGAATTTCACTTCTTATTATTATGCCAGTAGACTTAAACTCTGGGTGTGCACAATACTTACTGCTTATTATTACTGTAATTCATGCATATTTCCCTATGTAGAAGAGACAGTTTGAAAGCAGTATTATCCCGTTTCTTTAGAGAAATGAGGATGGGTGTGTGTGTGCACATTCATTAATCATTTATTAAATTAAAAAATATAAAAGAAGGAAACATCATTAAATGTAGTTCACAAATTCTCAGGCAGGTTTACAGGCCAGCTGAGTCTTGTTCAAGTGTCTTTCCACTTAATATCATCTGGTGAGTGGGCCAGGAGAAATTTCCAGTTCTTAAACAAACAATTTGAAGTTACTTTTGAGGGGGATGAAAAGTAAGTTGAAAGGAGGTAATTTAACCCTGGGTGAAAGGGAAATCACAGGAACATGCCTGAGAAACCACTTTTTCCCCCTTCTGTCCTCATTTATGTGCTTTTTAGAGTAAAATTATACTGGATTAGGTTTGGAGGCCTCTTGTATTTCCTTATCCTTAAAATTAATTACATTCTAGTGACTGAAAAATATAGCAATACTGACAACCTTTCTTCTCAGGGAGAGGTGGATATCAACCAGCTGGTGTAGACAGGCATTTGCCCAAAACCAAATCTATTACAGAACAGCAGCCTCCAAGTCTGTTTTTCTGTTAAAAGTAAGAAAAGCAATTTAGCTGTTTAATTCTAGATATGAAGGTGTGTACCTCCAGGGCACAGAGCACTCCCAGCAAATAGAAGTATGCTTTCAACTGCCTTGATTCCTTTGATATGGACTCCAGTGGATGATACATTTTCAAGATGGGCCTGAAGTCTATTCGTAAGTTTTATGAGCTTTTTTCTCATATTGACAGCTGAGCCCGAGCAGTGCCCTGCGTATTCGAATGCTGATCAATTCAGATTCAGTTCTGTGTAAGTATTCAGGTTGCCCCTATCACCAGAATATCTGAGGAAATCATTACACCTGTTCAGTGGATAGTGCTGAAGGATATCCTTTGTCCAAATTAATACAAGTAAGTCATAGCTAATCTGTCAATACAGGCATGTTACTACAGTTACACAGGTAATACTGATGTGATAGAGCCAAGATTGGAACCCAAGTGTTCTACTGTGCTGGCCGTAAAAACATCCTCCTTTTTATTCTTCTCTGAATTATCTGGACCTCCTGAATCAAATTGCTGTATTGGGTGTATTCTTCTTGGCATGTTAGCATTTAGCTTACTAGTAACTGATATCAATTGGAGGAAAAATCCAAACATTTCTGGATCTCAAAGCAGTTGTTTCAAGCCAGTTCTAGAAATCATCAGGTTTTGAATAGTTGATGGTGTTCTGCATAACTTGGTCAGTCATGCCTTGACATCACAGCTTGCTGCTGCAAGTTTTCTTTCTAATTCATCATAGTAGTGGTGGTAACCTAACTTGTTGGAGTGCTGCTCTCTTAAGGAGTTGAAGTGCCTGTTCTTCCACCAGGGCACTTGAGTTAACATGTGGTACTTCAATTATTATTAATGGCAGCTCCACAGCCACAGCCTGGCTCCTGTAACATGTTAACACCTTTTACTGTTATTGACAGCAAACCCAAAGTTGCAACATATCTATTTGAAAATGCACTGTCACTGTTGCACTAATGGGACCCTGCAGTTTCTCTGTAGCATGTTTAAAAAAAAAAAAAAAAAGGCAAAACCTCACTTTATCTGCAGCATTTTTTCTATGTAAGTGGTCATCAAATAAACTACTGGAGTGTATACATTCCTGGTGATTAAAACGGCTTGATTTTGGGTGAGTGGGCAAACTATAGTACATTTGCTGGAAATTTTGATTTCCACTAGTCTGAAGCTATTTGTGAATTGAGCAAATTGAATCTGAATTACTTCAGATGGTGATGGTGAATAACTGAGGACTTTAGTGCTTCTAGTGGTGGCGTCCTTTTCTGCAGTAGACAAAAGGCTAGAGGATTACGTTTTGTATTACAGTTTTTAACATGACATTTGGGAAAAGACAGCTTTTCTACAATTTTCGAATGTTTTATTGTCTATTTGTACACTGAGTCGTATCATGAAAATAGGACTCTTCTTTTGTGATTCATCCAGTAACTCAAAGACAAGAGAGAACAACTCGGTGTGAAATAGAAGTTAAAGGCTACCCAAGGGCATTTCTGGTGCAATGTTTGCAGGTTTACTAGTTTGAGGTATGATATTTGTGCATATGACAGTTTCATCACTGCTTTTGCAAGTTAAATAAAACCTTGATAGATAGTGTATTCAGATAAGATGCTGCTTGTACCACACCATGCCACCAGCCTATTTCTCTACCAATCGCAGTGTCAGTTAAGCCCCACATTGCTGATGGATAAGTGAATAGTACGTGGAAACCCTAGCCTATCTTCATGCTAATATGAACAGGCTTCATTCTTGCAGTAAAGCGGGATTTGTTTTTATTGTGGGATATCATTGTTGTCCCATGCAATGTTCATTGCATGTACTGAGCTGTTTCAAACGTGCCCACAGCCCATTGCTGTAAGTGAAAGATTGAAAGGGAATGTCCTGAGGATAGCTTCATCCAATTTCCCTGCATCTTATAACCCTCTTGTGTGAGGGTGCAGTGTGGTCCTCGTTACCGTTTTAGTTAAGATCTTGGGATATGTTTTATGTAGACACTAAAAGTTTATAGAACGTGTTGTGTTTAGTGATTCCAGCCTCTTTTCCTGAGTCAGGAGTTCATGAATGCAGAAAGCCAAGCTATGACCTGAAGTTAGATGTGTTAGAGGCAAAGTCACTCTTTACACGGGAAACAAAAAAATATAAGTCCTAACCCAATCTGAAAGCTAAATGATATGCAGAAGACAACTGTTTCTGCAGCCTAATACCTTCACTGTCAGCACTATTAAAGAGAGACTTCAGCATGAGTCAGGAAACACATTAGCCATGGCCTGCTGAATGTAAAAATATATGAGATTAAGTGTCTAATTTCATAGCTGCTTTCCTTTTATCAAGTTGAAAGCCTAATTGAAATTATTGCATGAGATGGCACTGTTGAATGTCTAGTTTTCTTTTACATGCATCATTCCTTGAACAGCAGTGTAACTCTCTCTGACCTTTTCAAATGGCATATATATTTTTTGTTAATATTGAAAACCTGTGGGGCTGAAAAATACTCATGCAGCATTTTACACCTTAGTTTTAATAAATGTTTTGACAAAAATGAAAAAAAAAGTAATAAATCATACCTAGAAACAAAATTATTTTAAATTATTTTTATGCCAAGTACCAAAATGGTCTTTTGGGACCAATATTCCTGAAATAGCATTGTGTTTAAATATATAGCTGAGGAAGAACTGTCAAGCTGCTTGCTTTCAAAATGTTAAGTGTTATTTTACTTTATAAATATTTTTGGAATTTCCTCACCATCAGGATGTCTGTTAAGGCTTTGGTCTGTTTGGTAGGGGGTTTTTTTTGTTTATTTGTTTTTGCGCCTTTAAGGCTTTAATAGAATTATTAAAATATCTACACATAAAGCCAGACTACACATGAAGCCATGCCTTCAAGATATGCAAGGTGAAAAAGGAAGCTCCCTGGCACAAAGATCCTTTTACTGTGCACTGGGAATGTCCACCAGAGGGTAGGGTATAGGATAGTTACTGTGCTGTGCATTTATCCTTCATCTTGTTACTCCCTGCTTCCTTGTACAGACAACACAGTGAAGAGATTTTGTAGGTATGACATAAAACGATTTTAGAGTAGCCCCTGTGGTTCTGGCCATTAGAAACAGGAAAGGATAATCACTTCAACACATAAAGGCACAAGGTTATTTCTGTGCTATCCTAGATCTACCTTCAATCCTTCCTCTTCTCAAAGTTCATCTCTGATTTGATAATGCCTTTGACTAGTACTTCTAGAGCCGAAAGTGTAGAGTTGGCTATAGAAAAATCACATATAGGTCAGAAAAGAGACTGGTGGTATGAATAGGGATTTGCTATGACTAGATAACAGCCTGAGGTTTTCAGTTTTTTCAAAGAGAGTGAGATGATTCCTCTGTCCCATTGTTCCACCTCTTTTAGCCACACTAGTGGCTTTCTGCATTCGTAGCACTGATACGTAAACCTGGGAGGAAAGTGCAAGCTCGGGACTCTGACACTTTGATTAGAGACTTAAGCCCCTGAAAGTGTCAGTGGACAGCAGCTGTTTTAAAATGAAGGGGGCAGAAACAAACTTGTTGGGGTGTGGGGGTGAGGAGAAACAAATGCGTATTCACATATCCCTTCTGCTTTATTTTGTCAACTGGCAGTTTTCTTCAAGCGCCTTTTAGGTCAGTCCGTTAGGACACTCATGCCTAATACTCCAGCAGCTTCAAATCTTTGCCACTCATATATCAAATGCCTACACTACAGCATCAGCCTAAAGCCACTGAAGTACAAAGGAGCCTTGACAAGGGCTTGACTTATATGACTATTTAATTCCCTGTAAGTTTGGTGGTAGCTTTTTCTTAGCCTTGAAAAATCTCACTAGTGTTTCACAACTAACCTTTTTTTCCTCTGACTTTGAAAATATCTCATTCATGTTTCACAAGAATCTTAATAGTTTTTTTTAATATCACAAAACTTATGGTCCAGCTTATGGTGACATAATGTATTACATATTCCTGTTAATTTAGAAGCAGAATAGAACCAGATTTTGTGGAGAATCAGTGTCTATATCTATAAAGTAAAAATGACTGTATAAGTAAGAGAGAGAAAAGCCCCTTCTTAATGGAAGACTGTTAGGGAGAATTGAAATATATCTATTGCTGCAATTGTAGCCAGCTTTTATCTCAACTCTTTGTCACTTTTGACTAGAGAATCAATCCATCATAAAATTGTCAGATTTCATATAAAGGCAGAAAAATTACATCTACAAAGTTTGAATACTCTCTGAAAATTGTCCCCTGAATTTCTGATATGAATTACTGGATTTATGTAGTCTTTCTAAATTGACTACCATGTTAGCTGTTAACTTTTAGGCACTTTTTAAACATTTACATAGTAAAGGGCTTATAAAACAACCTAGCTTTAGACTTTTTCAGATTTTTTCTTGGATGCCATTTTAACATTCTCTGCCATCCTGGAAGTGCAATGCAGTTGTGCAGATGAGGGTTACGCAAAGAAGATGCATAGTTCTTTACTACAGGAGTTAATTAAAATTAATCCATTCTAACAGACTAACTAAGGTTTACTGGTGCCCAATTAGGAAGTACTTATTCAAGCTGAGTTTTTTTATCATTACGTACCCAATATAAGACAGTAGGTGAAATGCTGTTAATATACTTCATCATGTCCTAATTAATTGCATCTTTTGTTTTCTGTGCTTTTAGGGTGAACCAGGTTTGCCTGGTATAGCAGGAGAGAAGGGAGCAGCAGGGCTTAAGGTTAGTACTGAAAATGGATTAAAAAGAGAAGCACGCAGTACGTGAGTGCATATAGATGACAGTCATGCTTTCTCACTTGTGTTCATATTCTGACTGGCTTTTAACGATCTGCTCATTCCAGCGATCAGTGTTGCAAGAGGCTTTACACGCTTCCATAAAGAAGCATATTCTTCTGCGGTGCATGTGTAATTCCAGGCATTGGCACTGACGCATATGCATCCACTGCCAAGTGAATGCAGTGTGCTTGCAAGTGTTTGGGAATTTGGGGACCTTTTTAAAGGCTTTGTTTATGCTCCTCACAATATGTTTCAGGCTTCTTTTCAAGAAGTACTGTGGTCAATTCTTTGACGAGTGTCGGGGTTAAGTCTTGAGGGCTGATCCTGCTATTATGGGAATTAACAACAGACCTCATTAGGAGCATGTCTGGGCCTGTATTTGTTATGGCAAAATGTCTCTGCATTTATTTTATTTGTAAATAATTTATTCTTCTGTTTTAATATTGAACGAGTGAAATGTAACATGCAAAAAGGTTTTTGATGACTTTGTTTAAAAGAAAACATCTGAGATGATGTGATCTGTGGGCCCCTCAGAATGGGTAATGCTGAGTTCTAATCCCATCAGCTGCGAGCGTGTGTCTTTGGTGCACATTTGCTTCTCAGCTGATTCTGGGGATCACGCTGCTGCTGACAGACAAGCGGGGCAGGCTCTTTGCATTTACTGACTGGCTGCTTGTCCATCAGGAATGAAAGCAAACCATTTGGGAGCATAACCTTCTCTTACTTTGTATACAGAAGAAGCCAAATTATGGCAGCTGATGCTTAATTCATATTCACAAGTGTAGTCTTTGAGTTGCCTAGCAACCACCAGCCATCAGAAGGGGCAGAGATGAGCCAGAGCAGCCAGAACTGCAGACATGAGTTGTCAGGGTCAGGCTCACTGTGCAAAAGTGCATTTGCTATTGAACCAGTTTTCCTAGCAAGTTTTAATTTTAAAAATTAATGGTATAAACCAGGTTTTTACAGAGAATGTTAGGAGCGCTGAAGGCTCTTTGCTCTGAATCAGTTACGAATTAGTTCAAGATGCTTAAGCCTTTTTATTTCTCCTTGTTCTAAATCATTAACAGAATCATAAGACTTTCCCCTCACATTTGACTTTCTGATTTTTATCTTCATTCATTCTCAAAATAAGGAGACCTGAACCTAGGAGTCACCTCTGTCCTGGTAGGTCCCTTCACACAGACATATGTCTGTTTGTCAGGGTTTAATCTAGAACAAAACAGGACATCCCCTTCCCCCCCGCCCCGCAAAAAGGTAGGCATGACATACAAATCATTAATCTTTTTTAATTGTGCTGAAGATGTATTGTTTATTGAGTTGTCCTATTACATTTACTAATTTTGTTGTTTATTAAGCATTTTATTGTTGGATTTTAGCATTTGAGAGTGTCGCATCAGATTTCTACTTAAGGGTCATTGGCTGACGTGGCTTTTGTAATGTAAAGGAATCATCCATAGTATTAAACAAATTCCAACTGCTCTTCTGCATCTTGCATTAAATAAATTATCTGATGTTTCCTGGCTTTTGCATATTACTATCTGTGAATTTTGCACGTTAGTAACTTAAGACTTTTTTTCTCTGATTATGTTGATCAGGGTGACCCTGGAGAGAGAGGAGAAAAGGTGAGGCATATTTCACTTCCTTTGTTTTTGTCCTGTTTTGGAGAATTGTGAGTGCACTGATTCTGAGTTTTAAAAAAAAATGCAGCTAGTGCCTGGAACTCTAGAGCCATTGTGCAGCCTTTATTAGTGTCAAATAATACTAATGCAAGTTATTTCATAGGCTTCACTGGGGTTATTCATGGAGAACAGTGGACATGCGTTAAAGGGTGCACAGCTGAGTAACTATGCAACTAATCACAACTACGATTCGTTTCAGAAAAAGATGAGCCTGCCTAAAGAAAAAGCCGCTCATTTCTCATAACTTGGTTTTGGCGCTCTGTTACCTGCGAAGAGTAGTTTATTGTAAAAGCAATTAGGTAACAGCGATAACCTAGAGTCTAGATGAGATGTGGGTAACTAGTTCTTAGCGTATTAATGCAGAGTCCTCCACTCTGGCCTGGGTCAGTTTAAGTCAGGGCGAGAGAGAGAGAAGTATCGGCAGTAGAGACACTACATCAATTGTGCTCTGAAGTCCATAGTCACGCCAGCACAAGACGAGAAGTCCAAATGAGCTCCTCGCTGCCAAATGTGGGTGTAATTCTTCCGTATCGGGGAAGAGCTCTCAATAGGAGCACCCGTGTGAGAATAAATACTTGGAATGAGGCAAGTTTCTGAATCTGTAGAAGGGCAGTTTGAGGAATGATGTACTCCTCATTTTGAGTAGGAATCTGTACAATGACTTATCTTCTGCAAGTACACAGAGCCATGTTTTTAAAAAGTTGTTTGTATTTGGGTGCAGTTTGCTCTTAAGGAATGTTTACCTGTGTCTTTGCAGCTGCAATTGAATTTCACATCCAAATCTGTATACATCCACATAATAGCATCTGCGAGCATGCTTTGCAAAGGCAATTCATTTTGCATATTCAAAATCACATCATAAAAATAATCCAGAAGAGGCCTGAAAGTCTGTACCGCCCATGTGGGGCTAGATAATTAGGAATCTTTTTTCACCAAATCATCACTTTAATTGAAATTATATTTGTTGAAGAACTTTACTAATCCTTTATTTGTTTATTTTAGAATGTGAAGTAATAACTGTAACTTCTAACACTTTATTTATTGTATTTCTATTTCTTAAAATCACGGTATTTCATCATAAACATCCTTTGTCTCTCTTTAAAAACTGTAATTATAAATGCCCTCAGTATGCAGAAGCATGTCTAATGGTCTTGGAATGACATTCCTGACAGTTACTGTTGCATATTGGCATGTTTCACCAGGCCCTTAATTAAAGTGTTGCTGGCTCGTTAGATAGTTACCATTGTGTTAGTGACTGTGATATACAAAATGGTCTCTGTTATAAGTCCTCTGAAAGAATTTTACATTAAGGTTTTCAGAGCAGTATGAGAGGTACTGAATAAATACTGTTATTTGAATACTACTCCTGGTATATGACCAAGACCTACATGAATGTTTTTTATCCAATTTAGAATCAATATTTTTCCATATTTCTGACATTTTAAATCCCTTTCACACCTTCCAGGAACCTCAAGTCCCACAGAAGTTTTTGGCCCAGATTCTCACATACATCAAAGACTCTTTTTGGTGTAGTCTCGTGTTTTTAAATAGCTGAATTAATATGAATGGAAATTGGGCCTTTTTATAGATAAAACTTTGAAATGCTTCTTTAAAAAGTTATTTTAAAAATAGTAAATACCTACCAAGCAATGAAGAAGTGTTATCTGAATGTTGATCTTTATTAATAAGAAATAATACTTAGAACTTATTTACAGGTAATAGTTGTTTTGGTGGTTCCTTCCAGGGGTGGGATTCAGTGAAATTTTTCTAGTTTGTGAATAATTCATGGGAAAATAGTTGAAACTTAAAGAGTATATATCATAATTCACTCACAAATCCTAATAAAAAGTATTGAACTTTGGTAACTGTCACCTGACTTTGATCAGATACATTTAGGTGAATATCTTGTGTTGAAATAATATGTGTTGGTAACTTAAAATGTGGGATCATAATGAAATCATTCCTTCGTTGCTAAACCACAATGAACTGAGGAAGCTTGTAGACCTACAGGAAGATAGTTATTTGGTTGTTCATGTTTTTTGAGGACCTATGAAACGGTTTATAGTTATAGGAAAGGTTGTAAAAAGGCAACAGACATAACAGCTGTATAAATCACCCTTCCTGACCATGTCATAGGGAGATTGACTCCCTGATTAGTACAGTTAGCTTGCTAGTTGTGTTTGAATGCTGACTTATCTCTGAATGCTGTGTGCTTGCTTAAAGTCATTTAAAAATAATATATATTTTAATTATAGGGTGATGCTGGAGAAAATGGACCCAAGGGTGACACAGGAGAAAAGGTAGACTACTAATTGGTAGAGAAGAAAGCATGTTTACAGTCTAACCAGGTTTTAGGCATGTTTACAGTCTAACCAGGTAGTGAAGAAAATAATTTGATCAAAAGGAAAATGCATTTTAAGCAGTTACTTTTAAAGAAGTTGTATGATTTGGAATGAGTTCGTCTTTGTGAACAACAGAAAAAATGTCTCTCTTCTGTCTAATTAAGCATAAATTCCTGACTTTGTACAGCAGCAGCTTTAGTTCAGGACACACGAGCATAGCTCTAATCAGCACTCCTCTCTGTGAAATGCGCATTGTACAGAAACTTGAGTCACAACCTGCCAGACTATTTGCACTGGGTCTGGGGAGTTACGCTCTTTCTGATATACCCTAGCTGTAAACATGTCCTGTTCTGTGTTGCTCTTTAAGGGAGGGACCAAAAATATGGTATAGCTGTAGCTAACTTCCTCACAAATTGCCAGCTGGACAGCTGATAGCTGATGATTAAAAAGGAGATTTTAAATATTTTTGCCAGATTATATCAGCAGTAGCCTCACTGAATGCCTTGTTAGCTCATTCTGGTGAAGTACTACCAGGCAGAGGTCACTAAAGAGTAGACATTTTTAAAAAATTATTTTGCTTTATTTTATGTGAGGCTTATTCTGTATTGTAAAGAAAAAAAAAAGATCAAAAATGAGCTTGTGTTTTTAAATCTGCTTTACTTCACATAAGTCTTAAACTTTACTTTAGCAAAGTCAGAGCAAAGCTTGTGTTGTACAGGAAGACAGGATCAGTCGTAATGATCTTTACTGGCCATATAATTTTATGTATTTTTCATGTATATTTTTGTGTAAAAGTTGTACATAGTTTATTACTATCATTTTGGAATTCCCATGCTGGTTATAAACTTTCAGTTTAGTTACTACACGTGGGCAGAAGCATGAACAATTTCTTCTTTATCCCTATGTATTTAATTGCATAACTGACTGAAATCAAAGTGGTGTAAGGGGAAATTTTTGATGAATTAATCAATGTTCTGTTTTAACTGGTAAGGAAGGTGTGCAAATCACTTCGGCGTTATCATATGGAAACAGTAAAGCTATGAATTCAATAACACAGAGATATTATGGGGCATATTCTAAGATCAGCAATTAAAAGTAGACATTAGATTTAAGAATAGTAGGTTATTTGAAGCCCAGAGTTCATTTAAATAATACGTCCTCTACAGTCATGCTTATTAACCCAGATGAAAGTCTTAAGAACTTCATTCAGTTACTTAAACAGTGTGTGCAGATAAATGTCTTCTTGATCCATTTTTATGTGATTTAAGAATATAATCACTAGGCATATCTAAGCCTGTTGTCGGACAGATAGTCCTGAAGCAAGTAAATGGAAAGTTTATAATCTCTCTGAGAAGTCTAGTGAAGCTTTACTTGTTGCCTTTCTACTTTATCAGCTGTGATAGTGGGCATGCATCCACTAGAGTGCCCATTTTGCACTGTGGTCTGCAGTGCACAAATCTCCCCACTTGGGGTCATGTTTAAGGAAACAAAAAAATGCTTTCCCTCTTTCAGTGGGAAAGTCTTTCTTCTTGAGTATAATGTTATATATATTTCTGTGTGGAGCTTTAAACAGTGCAAAACTTGTTAAGGCTCAGTTTTTAAAGACCGTTTTTAAGAGATACGCTGTTCAGAGATAAGACTGGTGTCAGTTCAGTAATCTTAGGTGTTTGGCTGCACGTGTATATATACCCTCCCTGTGCAAGACACAAGCCATGAAGTTTATGTAAGTTAATGCAGAAGCCATCCACTAAATCATAATACCATACATATGTTTAAGAGATTTCATCCATAGATCACAAAACTTAAAAACATTTCTTTAAAAGATAAAATAATGTTCCAGTGAGATAAATAATAAATTTTCACTTATGTGATAAGAGAGAGATCAGATGACAACAGTTTCATACTTGATCTCGGAATGGGTTCCTATTTGTCCACTTAATGTAGCTTTGTTTTCTGACCTGCTGCACCCAGTAGCTCTCACAAACATGAACTGGGATACTTATTTTTGACCTGTGACTTAAAAAAGAAACTGTCTTCCCTGAGTGTTCTACCCTGAAGACAGTGTCAATATCAGACTTGAATTCTTGCATCTATTCTTCTACTGTAGCCTTTGGCCCCTGAAAACTACCAAGTATCTTCCTTTTCTGTGCGTGTTCTCTTGCTAAAGTTCTTTTCTAAGCCAGCTGAGTTATTAGAGAACTGAGAACATGCTGTACCGTAATTTTTTTCTTTAATACCATATTAATTTTCACTCTTGCGCGAAGGTGGATTGTAATTCTGTGTCTTATCTCCCCTATATCCATTATTATCCTGTAAAATGTTTAACTTGTGAATGTCTCTTACCAGTTGCTTTGCCACTTTATAGCTATAAGAAGTCCTTGAGGGTTTGCAGTTGTACATGCTTGTAAGGGGTATCAGCAGTATCACTCATGCATGTCTATCAAAATGAGGCAGCTCAGGTTTCCAGACATTAATCAACCCTTCATATAATTGGCTTTTGTTTTTTCTTCATACAAGAGAGAGCTGCAGTAACTGTGTAGAGAAAAGCTATTCCTAGTCTTCAAAAAGCAGTGTGCATGTTATTTGGTATCGTTTAATTTTTTGAGACTACTACCAAAATAACCCACTACCCCCAACCCAACTTTAAAACTATGGCATTAAAAAACTGCTTCCTTCAGCTTTACTGAACCACCAGGAACTGATAGTGGCTGTATGTATTTTAATAAGAGGAATATTTAGTGTTTATACTCACCTTAAACATGGTCAAAGGTTACTGCAGAAATGGTTATTTTACTGCCTGTGTAAATCATAGCATGCTATTGGGGAACTTGAAGTTGTTACTGTATAGCAATTTGTTAACTTCAATGAACAATCCAAATTGATTTTGAACAGCTAACAGAGAAAGTTCTTCGAATCTAGGCAGTCCTAGCCATCTTCAATGATATGTAGTTTGACTAGCAAACTTTTCATTACTTGAGTTTTTTTCCACTTTTGTTTGGCATCTCATTTAAGAAAAAAAGCAGCAAACTGAGAATACAGGATCCTGTGAAAATTGTATAAGAAGAACTGAGAGCTGAAAGCTTCCCTGGCTAAGTCACTTGCTGATTCTCTGAGCCTGTGCCTATCACTGCCTATCAAATGCAGTGAGCCTGGCAAAACACAGGAGAATCTCTTTGAAAGCCAGGTACTTCCTCAGAACAGAGCTTTCCTAAATACATAAATTACTGTACTTCTCTCATCCTGTAACATGCAACACTTAGCTGCATTAAACTATCAGTATAAAAATGCTGAAGAGCAGTGGAAAACCTATTTTAATGGTAAACACGTAGGTCACTGAGTTTTTTCGAGGCTAACCTCCATTAGTACAAAAAGCTTTGTCAGATGAGACATGACACTTGCCATCTATAGAATTTGGCCAAAAGGCTCACTTAATGCCTTTTGTAAATGTCAACAAATGATTTTTCATGTACATCAGCGTGTTGCAGTTGTCAAAGCAAGTCCCATCTTCTGGCTTTATGAAGTACATGTATACAAAATCTGCAATTACTGTATCTAAATTATTAGTTGTAAATTTTCAAGTTAATTTTATGCTGTTTGGATGAATGAATCTAAACCCCTTTGCATGTTGTTGAAAGCAAGACCGTTCCTTTTGTGAGTCACACTGATTTAGTATGAATGGGTAAATTCTTGTGTAAGATCACAGAGTATACTTAATCTTGCTATATAGTTATCTTGCTATATAATCGTGCTATAATAATGCGTGTTTTATTATGTCGGTTTCCTGAAAATCTTTGTATGTAATAAGCATGATTATTTCTTGTGAATTTTTTATCAGGGTGACCCTGGTTCTTCTGCTGCAGGAATTAAGGTAATTTGGTGTTTATAGCAGTTGTATAGGGAGAAGAGGGTTGGTTGTTCTGCGTTATTTTAAGTGCCCCAGACATTTCAGATACTATTAATGTTATGATTTTCCCCAAACCTATTTTTTCTTTTCAGATTTTATCTGATCTGTTTCATCTCTTTTCCTTTAGGGTGAACCTGGTGAATCTGGACGGCCTGGACAAAAGGTATTAATTGAAAATATTCAGTTACTCTCTGCTCACTGTTGGATTTGTGATCAATCTTGTTACACAGATGTTAGCAGTGGCATTTCCCTACTGTTTTGCACTAGGATAAGTCCAAGGTAGAACAACTTAACAGCCCAAGGTCTATCTACATTTGGTTTATGATTATTTTGTATTTTAAAAAGCATAAGAATGCTGGCAGTAATTAGCATGAAAAGCAAGATCAGAATAACCCACCTCCTCTTCTAGAGACAGAATACTTGTTGCATGGAAAGTCTGCTGTGTTGCAGCTGGTGAGACTAACAAAGAATGGATCTGCTCCTTGACTGATCACAAGTTGACCTTGCATGTTTGACTGAATATTAACCTTCAGATTATGATACGTTATTACATCTCATTAAGAAGAAATGAATATTGACTCTTGTTTGGTAGAATCCCTTTCACATATACTGATAAGGGGAAGCAAAGTGGCAGAGGCATGCAAAGTGTTTGAAAGGACAGAGAGCAAGTAATTCTGCTCTGTTCTTTCTTCTTGGGGAAGAAATTCCCCTGAGTGCTGTACAGCTGCAGCTGCTTTTGCAAGTAGAGATCCAGCAAAAGCTGTAATGACTCTGGGCTCCATTGGTCCCTCTGAAGCAGGGGAATTTTCCCTTTGAATCCATAGTACTTCAGAGCAAGTATTGTGCCTTCAGCTGCCTTTCAGGAGAGTAGGATGCAGGCCCTCCTGGGAGAGCTGGTGAAAGGGCAAAGAGAAGGCACAATGACAGAACCAGATTTGTGCTTTACATTACTTGGTTTCCCTCTGGAGCCTTCAGCACCACTCTTGCCTCTAATAACATCGAAAATTACCCACTGCTGCCAGAGTAGAACAGAGTCCAACTGAAGACTGAGCTAGCTGCTGTACCAGAACATAAACCAAAGAAGAACTAAAACATATAGGGAATGTCAGTACAGCTGTTTTCTAACACTCAAGGCCTTTTGGTAGCAAAACATATAAAATACAATATGAAGTTGAGTCTTTCTGAGAAATTGTAATTGCAATCAATTGTAACAGTCTAAACAAAGACTGGTGGCAAATTTAGTTCTTTGGTGCAATGCAGTTTTAATTAGAAAAAGTAATTAAAGTAGTGTAAAGCTATCTAATCTATGGAATCATTAAGACAGTGTGTTTTGCACTGTGTGCTCTGCTTGGGTAATAAACTAGAAAATGTGCTCAAGAGCCTGTTGAGATTCATACCCTCATTAGTTGGCTGCCATGGCAGCAAAAACTAGCAGTGATTTATCAGCAGGCTCCCGGATCTCTCAGTCCCCATGTGCTCAGGTTTGATCTCATTGATTCAATATAGATAAGCGAGAGGGTACACAGATCAGAGTTTCTATATTTTCAGCTTGTTGCTTACCTCAGAGCAGGCCTAATGCATTCTTTCCACTTCACTCCACAAGTTCCCAGTATGCCACCTTTCTGTGCCCATATACTTCCAAGACTTCTGCAAACCGCTCTCTGATTTCATTCTTGCCCTCCTCCCTTGCCCTGTTTCTCTCTGAAGCGAGGGTACTACATATCCCTCCTACGAGATGGATCAGGCTGTATGTGACTGCCAGCAGCTCCTGTAAGACATTCCCTTGGAGTACCTTGTCCAGCCAAGTGTCTCAAGTGTCTGCCATTCTGCCCTCTGCTTTGGAGGGACTCATTCACTTCAGCCAGAGGTTGTGGGTGACCCTTTCCCAGACAGAGGCATGTCTCTGCCCTCTACCTCACCTCGGTTCTTTTCCCTCTGTTGTACCCCATTCCTATTTCCTTCCTATATCTTCCTTCCTTCCTTTCTTATATATTACTGCTTCTTCCAATTACTCATTATCCATCTTCTATGGACCAATAGCTGCCCACCTGAATATTATTTACATGAAATGAAATGTGACAGTGTTTGAATGATAAGACAGGACTGTGTGTCCCGTAAGTGTTGCGCAAGAGTTATAAAAACCTTCCCTGACCACCTTAGCATTGCATGATGGAGTTAGTATACGGCCTGTCTTTCTTTAAAAATCATTCTTCTCATAAATCATACCCATATCTTTTGTTTTAGGAAAGGTCCAGAAAAGAAAATATTATGCATTCATGTACAATGTTAATTGTAATGAAGCACTAGCGATTTAATTGTGTTTGCATTCTTGAACTTATCTTTGAGAGGCATTTTAATTGTTTTAGATTACTTTGAACCTGAACTGGTTTTGGTGGATCCTATCTGCTTGTTATGTGTGTGTTGATAGGGGTTAGCTCTGTCCCAAGACTAAATTGTGGCCTTCTGCAGGAATACTGATAGATTTATCAGTTATAATTGTTGAAATTTTATGCTTAGAAGTGAAACTTAGGCCGTCCACAATTAGGTAAGAAAAGGTCATGGTAGCAGTGTCTTTTTTCATTGGCACATGCAACTACTCTGGTAAGAAACTGGAAGAGTAGGTTTTGGAGCTAGCATTTTGCCAGGAATGAGTGTAAAGGAGGCTATTTAAAGGATTGTGCTTTTGCAAGAGTGGCAACCCACTTCCGGCTTTAGACAGTAATAGGCAATACAGCAACGGATAGTAGACTCTATTGAAAATGGTGTCCCAGCCTCCACTCTTTCTTTTCATTTTATAGTTAATATTTTCAGAGTGGATTATTCTTTTCTGTGGTTTTAGCCAGCATGAGTAATTAAAATTTTGGAGTGACTGAAATGGGCAAAAAAACTGCTATCAAATCCGTTCAGAACATGTAAAATTACTCCATTTGGTAAAGCAATTTGCAGACCCTCTGTTGCGTTTTCCAGTTTGTGGGAGGATTTAATTTTGTTATTAGCTCTTCAGGTACATTAAATACTATTGCATCAGAACAGTATATGTGGGTACTGTAGTCTGAGGAACATCTGTCTTTATTATATATACACATATGTTTATGTTTGTATATGTATGTATATGTGAGTGTATGAATCTGTGTGTGTGTGTGTGCATATACACATATATGGACATGCACATATATATATGTATATATATGTATATGTGCACACACACATACATAAAATATTTTAACAGCATAATCTGTGTGAGTCAGTCCAAACCACAGAGTTGGAATCTGGATTTCTCTAAAGCTTAAGAGTATATGAAATCTGGAATACAATTCAACTCATTATAAAGGTAAAAGTTGGCTTCAGAGTTCAGACCTGAGCTTCCAGAAAGTTCAGGGAATATTCAGATCCATGGTTCTGGTTTGAATCCATCTCTATATTAAAATTTAATCTCCAGTCTTTAAAAGAATGTTTTCCTCGCATATTATTCCTATCTTTTCTTTTCTGCTCATCATTTATATTTCCCTAGATGACATCTTTCTTTATAGCTGGTATCTTGAAATGATCATGTGCAAAAATGTTTCACTAGTCTTGTCTTAGAATAATATCAACTTTGTTTCAAAATGAATACCTTCTGTTTTCAATTTCTGTTACAAATTTTCCTCTTGCAAATGCAGTAGTGCAGTATTTTTTAATTGCAATTTTAAATAAGCAAGGCATTTCTGGGTAAAACAGTAAAAGGTTACATTCCCCTGAGCTTTCATGACACCATGTATATTCATAGTTAAACGCCAAGTACTGAAATGATGCTGCAGATAGATTTATAAAAATGATGGTCCAGTTATAATTAGCCAGTCCTGCTTGAATAGTACAGTTCAAACTAAGCTCTTCTGAATTGCTTTGTAGCTAAATCAGTTACACAGCACAGTATCTAGTTCACAGTTGAAAACAGTACAGAATTAAACGCCTGTTGTAAGTGCGTAACTTAAATGAGAGTGTGTGAAATGAACCAGTGCTACTTGTTTTCTCCTCTTTCGCCAAGGGCTGATGATGAGAAGTCATTTTTGGTTTTACTGACTTGACTTTTCAGCCTGGATTTCATCTTAGCTGCCTAAGTTCGCAGCAAATATTTAAGGTCTTAAATGTACTATTAGAAAAGTCATATTAAGTCACTCAGTTTGAAATTTTCAATCCTGCTTGAACTGACTAGCAATCATCTGTGCCTTTTTATCTTACTGCAGAATATACAGGGATGTTCACTGGACAGCGACCGTAACTGAATAATGTCTGTAATATTATGTAATTTTCCTGTATAGGGTGAACCAGGTCTTCCTGGGCTTCCTGGACTCCCTGGGATAAAGGTAAATAAACTGCAGTCTCTGTATTGTCCTGGGGGGCACCACAAAGTGGGGAGGAACTCCTCAGATGTAGCTGAAATGGGTTTACTCTGCTATGTTTATGTTTCTGAGTCCCTGCTGTGGAACTGGGGAGTGTCACAGGAAGGTTTCACATTGAAAACTGATCAAGTGCCTGTGAATAAATAAACAGTATATCTTACATTAAAATGTGCAGTAGAACATCACCTTGCCTAGTGGTTTAAAAAAAACTAATATAATTTTTTACAATTTTATTTAATGGAAGAAGCTTGTCATCAAAGTTTTTCTTGGTTTGCACTTTGGTGAGTACTTTACAGTTGCAATAGTCCACAGAATTTACCAAGCCCCTCTGGCCAGAGAACTATATTCACTGTTTACGGGCTGTACAGAACTGGCTCTATCAGCAAAAATACTCTGTGCTCCCACTACACAGCAGTGATTTCCACTGACAACTCAAAATATTTTAATAAGATTCTATTCAATATTAGCTACAGCGCCTGACCTAATACCTGGTTTAGTTACTGGCTTCCTGTTTGTCTGGGATCTTTGGGTAAGTTGATACAAAATACGTATGGTTGTTTTAGTTCTAGCATAAGTGGTTGCACTGGGAGTTGCAGCCGCTTGCACAGTTCGAGCCATAACTGTAAAATGCTGCACAAAATGAGCAGATTTACATATCCTGAATGAGTGCTGATTAGATTGGTTGCTTCTCATTCATAGCAAAGATTATTCTTCAGAGAACAAAATCTCTTTGAAGAATTTTCTTTGCATGCCAATATGGGCCTGTGCATACTCCAGGAAGTAGTTTATATCATCTTTCCATTAACAGGTATAAGCCAAAGGCAAAATGTTCATCCTTCTGAGTGGGAGTCAAAATTTAGCTCATAGAGTGTAACAGTTGCAGTGATTTTCTCAAAAGTCTTGTGAATTGCCACAGTATACAAACATAACGTCCCTTTTGTGGTTCTAGTAAATTGTTGGAAGAATTGAATGTGCATATTAAACTTTGTACATTATAATATCTGAAAACATAGTTCTCAGGGAAGTCTCTCATTTTCTGAGAGAAGAACCCTATATTGACTAGTGAAGATCATGGAGGAGCTGAATTCTTTGTGGAATCAAACGGTGTGTTCATAAGCACCTTTGACAGCAATCCCTAGTCCGTTAACTTTACTAGTGAGCAAAGAGGTGGCTCAGTTGGAAGTCAGTGCAAACCTCTGGGGAGCACTTACCAAAACCATGGTGGGTTGCTGCTGGTCTTTGTGGATTCCGTGTTCATGCAGAACACACATGTCCATGCATATCATCAACAAGTAAATAAGAATGTCAAAATCTGATCTGGGAAACTTGTTGCTGTTAGCCTTTATTTGTTGGTAATAAGAACAGCTTGGAAGGGCAGCTAGGCAGATTCACCTGAAAGGCAAAATGTGAAGTGAAAAGTGGATGAAGTGTAGGAATTTTGCCCACAATGAAAATTTGTGCCAGAATTCGATGTGATACAGTGGAAAAACTGCAGAGTTTTCTGCAGAATAAAGCAGAATAATGTGATCCAGTAGTAAGCCTTTAGGAGAATGCTGGCTTCTACTGGAAATCTAGGGCAGAGGTAGAGTTCTGGTGATTCAGTGAAGAAGTTCCATCTAGTGCAGTTTTGCATTGAGGTGTTTAGATATTATGGTGTAAAGCAAGCTATCAGAACTCGGATGGGGCAGGACAAAGCAGATCTGTGGTTACAGCACACCTACAGGATGGTGTTTGACTCGAGGCATGTGAACTACTTAACTAAGTCCATATTAAAAGCCTCAGCACTTCAGTCTTAAAGGTAAGCCTGTGCCATGAGAAGTGGTAGCGGAAACCAGTGAATGGCTGGACTTAGGAATATGAGCGCTCGTCAGCAACAAAAAAGTAGTAATCTAGCCTCTTCTCTCACCCATCTTTTTTGGCAAAGATTTATGTAGCATAAAGGCAGAGTCTTCCCATCAATTTCCATGAGCAGTCCCAGTGATATCTTACAGAGAAAGAGATTTGCAGCAAAACTGTTATTGATTGAAAATTACTTTAAAGTAACAGTGACCAGGTAAAAGACTTGAGGATGGAGAAAATCCAGTTATTTGTACTTTCAATCTACTTGTGCTTTCACAGTGTTATTGCACAAAATCAAAAGGAATCTTATTTGCAGTGATTATTTCTTTTTTCGTTTTTGAATGTTCTTGTTTGTTACATTTCTTCAGGGCTCCTGGGGTTGGTTCCCATCAGAACTTTATAACACTCACTAAAATATTTTTTTGTTATTCTAGTAGTGATATGCAATGGTGGTATAATACAACAGAAGTAATACAAACCTCATACAAACTCATGATAGCGTGTAAGAACTTGTTACTGCAAGTAAGAAGTTTCCATAGTGGGTTTTTTCCCCTAACATTTAAATGCATTACAGAGTTCTCATGTGTTCACATATCTTATCTGTATAGTAGCTCTTGGCAGGGATTTTGTAGGCTATCCCCAAGGTTTCAGAGGCAGACGTGGTGACCCAATCGGAGCGCAGAGGCACACAGGACAAAGTGACAAGGTTCTTTACAAGATAGTGGCTGCTTTGCCTCCTTTTCAGTGCATAGCAACTAAATAGTCTCATCTTTTTAGTATTATTTTTCTGCAGTATTATTCTCTTAAGCTTCTGTTGTGTTACTCATGCACGCACCTGCACAGTCAGAAATCTTCTGCAAAAATTTCTGTTGAGATCCCTGGCAGCTTAGAAGCATTAGGATTTTTGCTACATTTTGTGATCTTTCTTCAGTTTTACATCGTTGAAATTATAGAATGTTCTCCAAACTTGTGTCTTCCTATAATGTTCTAGAAATTTAACACATTTTATTTGTTTTCAGGCTTTAGCCCTAAGTTATTGGCAAAACACACTTTCCAAGCAGTTTTGAACGGTTAGCCCTAGATGGTAAGTGCATCTGAAATGCGTTAATATCTGCAGATGATTGGACCTAGCTTAAACCTATTTTCCCCAGCCAAATAGTCGAGAAATAAAGACAATAAATTTTCTGGAAATTAAATAAAGAAACAGCAAAAGTTCATATCAATTCAATAGGTAGTAACTCAAATTACACAGGTGATTTGGTATGAATGAGCTAGTTGTCTGAGGAGCATGTTTGCAGAGCTTTTATGTTCTAAACAGCTTTGAAATTGTTAGATGTTGACACACTGATAGATATCAGCTTCTTCAAGACATAGGAGAAGTAAAGCAAGAGAAGACTCCATGCTGCCTAATTTTCAAAGAGTTCCCGTTGGTGTCTTCTAGTACTTTCTTGTAAGACACAGGGATATTCTACTCACAGGAAGCTCTTCGATGTAGTTCTTTTAGTCTTAATCATTTATCCTATGACTGTCGTGGGGTAAATGTAGGCCTCTTTTCTTTAAATCTGTCAGGTGAACAATAAATTTGCTGTCTTCTGAATCAAGCTATCCAGGAGTGGCAGGCTGTATTATGAAATGTAGATGACCATGCACATCCAGAGCGCTATTTACACTAAGCCAGTCTATGAAAATGTAAATGCCACGTCAGGCAGTGGAGCATATCTTTCCAGCTGTAGCTCATCTTTCTTCTTGTGGGTGTAGAAGATTCCTAAGGTATCCAGTCTGGAATTCTTGAAAGAGTAGCCAAACTACTTAAAGGATTAATAAATACTAATCACTGGGAAAGCTTCAGCTTCTTATCATGCCATTTTCAATTAATAATAAGGGTACTTGCCAGGGAACCCATTAGAGCTTGGCTGAACGTGATATTGGGGTCTGAATGGACAGCAACCTCGGAAGGACATGCAAGTATCATGTTTAAATTCAGAGTATGCAGCAGGGTCATTCATAATTATTTTCCTAGACTCATTCACCGTGTGCATGTAGATGTTTTGGGAGTTCTTCTTGTTCCTTTTCATCCTCTTCTTGTTATCAGTGGGTGCCAGAGAGAAAACAAAAGCACAGTCAGTTATTTCCAAGACAGTGGTGAAGCTGTCTGTGACATGCTGGAGAAACTTTCCTCAACCACCTGTTGCTGTTTTGGAATGGCTGGAAATTTAATGAGCCGCTGAATGTATTCCACCATGTCATTCAGGAAATGCGTAAGGCACCTAAACACAGAATATTAACCCATCACTGTGATAATCCCACAACTGATACCAAGTAGATGCAGAATACTTTCTGTGAAACACAAACTTCATGTATCTGTGTTTTGTCTCATAACTTTTATGGTATGATAGATTCAAAGCATCACTTGCTTACTAAAAGGAAAACCATTTATACCCTCATTCATTGTAATGTCAAACATCTCTCAAATATCAGAATCAAAAAAATCTCAAATCAGGAAATGCAAAAATGTTGCATTTTTTGTGGCATTTAAGCACTACAGTCCTTGATTCCATCACTGCAGAGGGAAGTCTTCAACAGAACACAAGCTTCTTATTAGAAACAGCACTCTGGAGGTTCTGGCTTTTCTTTAAGGATTTCTGGCATTTCTCTCCTTGCTCCCCTCCTTTTTTTTTAAAACAACTACTGAAACAAAGCTGGTGAGTGCAGCTGAGATTTTACTCTATCTTGTTCAAGAAAACTACTGTTGAATGATTTGACAACAGGAAAGAAAGACTTCCTCACCCTTCCACCTTTGGGAGGTAGTGACAGTTTTCTGTGTTCTCAAATCCAGGGGAAGTGGCTGATTCAATACATTTGCCAGTATGCAACCACCTGTATTCTTTTATACAGTTCCTTTGTATTGACTTCACTGGAATTGTGCCTGAGAAAGGTTTCAGAAGAACCTGGATAAGGATACAGCAATTTGAGCTGGGCTTTTTTTCTTTCTTTCTTTTTTTTTTAATGAAAGCTAGAGCAGTTCTAATGATCTGTATTGAATTTCTTTTTCTCTCCATAGTTGAAGATCTTATCCTTGACTTTCATAATGCTGTGGAAGAACTGAAAAACTTGATGTTCCATAA